AAAGTTTTATTTAACTTTATCTCACTAAATGTTTTAGTTAAATGCCTTTGTGAGAAAAGTTCCTTTGTGAGTGAGGATATATCTATAATTCTGGAGAGAGTAAAAGTGTAAAATTCACCAAGGGAATATTTATACACATAGGTTAAATATTGTCCATTTAAGGATTTATTTGGGTTATAAGCTCATCCTATAAAAAGCTTATATTTGGGGATTGTGTAATCAGTCGTAGGTTTGGTTAAAGATTAGCCAGTATTAAAATATTCATAGGTTCTTGATCAGCCCAGTTAAAGGATTCATAGGTTCAAGATCTATCCATTTAAAATCTCACAGGTTTTTTGTTAGCCTGGTTAATACCAAGATATTGGGCTAAATTTTTTTGGAACTTGAAGACTAACTGCTCTAAGTTCTGTGTTCGTTGAAAGAAGACTAACTTCTTCAATCCACAATTGGGAAGGAAGAATGACAATGTCACTCTCAATAATATATTGAAGAAAAGACACAAACACCCACATCCATCGTCTTGTAACATTTGGTTGAAGATCAACCATCATTTCCTTGTATAAAGGGTTCGTGAGTATTTCCTACTAAAAGCTCTAAACCGTTATTGTAAACTATCAAGATCAATTCTTGGAGAGATGTGTATGCCCTTTTGATTTGACTCAACCTCTATAACTCTTTGTGTTCCTCTATTCTCTGAAATTTTATTTTCTGCAATTTATTTTCCGCATTTATTCTTTCCACTGCTTAGTTTTTGAAAATGATTTTAAACTCTAATTTTTATTCTCTAAAGTTTTCAAAACCTTGATTTTACAAACCATACAATTCACCCCCTTCTTGTGTGTGAAGTGTCAAGTCCAACAGGTTGTACAATATTTCATGCCTCATTCAAAATAGAAAGGCCTTAGACATATTTTATTATAAGAAATAGTTAAATTTTCTCTACATCTCTCACATTCATAAAAATGCTTCATTATAGACAAAATCTCTTTACAGAATCTGATAGCTCAGATTAAGAGTGGTAAAATGGACTTGACCCTCATACATGTATGTTTTGCATGTACTTTTTTGTGGTTGGGTCAACGTTTTAGATTCACACTCTATAATATGTCTTTTCCGCCAGTACCACTTTTTTGTGGACTTTTATAGACGCGAACATTAACATAATTTTTTTTGGCAATTTTGAGGCCTCAAAGTTATTGTGCACACGGGTTCGCCCCACACCGGTCTCCTTTTTGTATGGGGCAGATCATTTTAGGCCCGTGCCTTCAATAATGTCGACTTTACTCTATTTTTTTGCTAGCTTTTACAAAATAGGTCTAAATGTGGGGAGCATATACCCATCTACCATTCTTAACTCGAATATCATTTTATTTTATTAATGTATATAATTAATATTTAGAAATAATAGTGATTTAAAATCGAATAACTACTATACTATGATTAACACTTTTTCTTAGAATTACTTATGACACATTCGCATCATTTATTTATGTAGCATTCTCACATCATTTTGTATAAATATTAAATTAGTATTTATACTTATACTGTTATTGGTACAACGGCTGGGGTTACTTTTTTCACCTTAATGGTTACTCTCACACCCTAGTGAAAAATCAAAACACTCCATGGAATACGAAAATGTACTTTAAACGCACTTCAGTTCATAGATAATCCAATCGTAAGTGAGTTAGACCCTAATTTTTATGAAAAATTAATACGTAATGCATCTTCGTATAACTTATGGAAATGCATTTTCGGACGGGTTTTTAATCAAACATGCGTGAGACCCCCCCCCCCCCCCCCCCCCCTTCCTCATTTCCTGCATACACTCTCAAACTGTGAAACTCTCTAAAACTCTCCAAACCCTCAAAATCTCTCAACTCACTTGCAATTTTCTACTCTTAACATCTAGCAAATTAAAGTGATCAACATAAGACTCATATTTGGTATGTTTTTAAATCCAACTACTTCAAATTTAATTTTTTACATGCATTTGTAGAAATCGAGCATTAGGTTGTGTAATAAACATCAATATATAGGTAATATAAGTGAACAATGTGTTTGATAGGTTGTTTAGATGAGCAATGCGTTTTGAGCATGTTTGGTTTGCACACATTTCTTCCATTTGTGTTTTTTCTGAGTTGTAGGTTAATACATAAATTCACTTCCATTTTTTTTCAAAACTTGAATTTCTAGAAATCTGAAAGTGCATTTATGTATTTTGTCAGCCTGCATTGTTTGGCTTAATTTACAATGTGTTTCATATGGGTTTGATTTTATCTACTTTGTCTGGTTTAATTATAACTAACATTCCTGACAACCAAGAAAAATTGAGGCACAAAAGAGTGTTACAACATTCATAGGTATGTAGGGTAAGAGCCTGACCCTTACAACTACCATCCGGTTCCAATTTGTTTAACATAGATGCGTCAACTTCTAGAACCCACATATCTCTGACTTCATCTTCCCAGAGGTGGCAGGTGTCACCTATTGATGTCCTAGAAGCCTCACCTATCCAGGTTGGTGCACCTATTGTTGATGTAACCATTACTTAGGAGTTTGAAGGAGGCCCGTATGACTTATCATTGTTGCCTATATATCCAAACCATGTTGCTAGGAAGGTAAAATACTTTTGTATTTATTCTTTGAAACAAATGAGTTATAATATTCTAACTTATTAACAATATTTTATTTTTCTACAATACTTTGTTGGTTTAAAATGCATCAATCGTAGTCGAAAGATTGAGAGATAGCAGCAACTTCAGGAGCTATGGTTTCACGATGTGGCGTAGCTATCTAGGATGCAAGATTTATACATGTACTACTATTAATCATGGTATATTGTCACCGTTAGTTGAGATATGGCACTCTTAGACATCAAATTTTCATCTTCCACATGGTGAGATGTCCATTACACTATATGATGTGTCATGCATGTTGCATCTTTCGATCAAGGTAAGGTTATTATACCACTTCACCACAGTAGAAGCATTGGAGATGATGGTGGACTATTTGGGAGTTAAGCTAGATGATTCCCTGAAGGAGATAGAAGACACTAGAGAGTGTCATGCTATATTTGGATTCTTGAAGAGGCTATATGCACACCAATAAACTATGACAGAGCAGGCTCAAGGTGATGATCACATGTTATGCAGTATAAAGCATATGCATTGAAGACATATATGTTGTAGTTGGTTGGCATATTTATATTTGTGAATAAGAGTTCCTATTACGTGGATATGGTTTACCTTAGATACTTCAATGACTTGGAGAGAAATCATGAGTACAACTTGGGGGGGGGGGGGGGGGGACTTGTTGATTTTCATGTACTCCAATTAGGTGAAAGTTGACTCTTCAAGACTAAATATATGACATCTAGTTGCATGCTATTGACATTAGCATAATTGTGTTCTTTACTGTTTATGTATCATTACTAATAATTTACATGTACCATTTTCAGGTATGGATCCTCCAACACTTCCCACACATTTCTGGTTGGTCATATGTTGAGGACTACACTAGGGATATGCCACGTGCATGTACATTCGTCCCACTCAGAGAGAATATTGTGCTTGTGTTGCCTACATGTCATCATATAATGGATCTGGTACACACGAGTATAGACAGAGGAGAATTTTAGGAAGACACTTCTAGGAGGGTCATTGTAGATATCATTCTATCCTAGTCACTAACAATATTGCAGTACATGAGGCGATATAGAAACAAAGGAAATGCTATACGCAATAGTATTGTATTTATATTAGGGATAATATTATCATTTGTAATTTATTTTGATTGTATTATGAATTTATGATTTATTCATTTATATATGTCATTTTTATCTTATTAGATGAATATAAATTTTTTATTATGATAGTATAGTTATAATACATGATCTACATTAGTGTATTTCTAAAAAATGTTAAAATTTCTCGTCTAGGATGAATATATAAGTGTATGTCCGTATTTGGACACGAAAATGCCTCTCCGAACAAAATTATGTAAAAATGAGGTTGACTCAGTTTGGAATTGATAGAGTGCATATATGATGAATATGAAAGTGCATCTCCGAATTAATTTAGGACAAAAGGAGATGTGCAGATCATTTACGCATGTATTTTGAGTGAAATATGTGCATCCAAAAATACACTTACAAATTCGTAGAATCATTTTAAAAATTTTTATAGAATATCTTTCGACCATTTAATATGGGAAAAATAATCCCTTAATAGTTCAATCATTTTAAAATTTATTTAATTTTAATTTTGATTGTTTTATGTTAGTAAGCTCAATAAAGTAATTAGGCTGGCTTATAGAGAGCCCAGCAAAATACGACCTTATAATTTGGACACCCTCTGGTTTGAGGGTTGATTTTTCTATAAATAAAATTGAATTTTTTTAAAAAATTATAATAAAAGAAAGAGCTCTACTTCTTAGTCCAACAAAATATTTATTATTTTAAATTTAGCTAACGATTTTTCTTTAATTTAAAAAAAAAGAAAAATAAATAAATAATTTATTTTAAAAAAATTAAATATTTTAATTTTAATATATTGAAAATACAAATTTTATAAAATTTATTATTTTTAGACTCTTAAAAAGTGTTTTTAGAACACATTAGAATTTCAATTGTTTTAAATATTCAATAATATTTTATTAAATTGAAATGAAATTACAATTAATCATGTGGAGAAGCTAGGCACATCTAGATAAAGCTCAAAAGTTGACCAAATATGTGGAATCATTTATACAAATTAATAAGAACCATAAATTATTGCACAAAGAAATTACAATAATATTGAAGTCGACATAAAGAACAAAATTACTATACGTTATATATAAAAAAAACAAGTATTGCTGTCTTATGAAACTTCTATATAAACATTGTATTCGCATAGTTTCTCCTATCACCACTATCTTCCCATTCTCTTATCTTATCCTTCTTTGTTTTCTTCTTCAACATGTTCAACAAATTTCCCCTGCAGTTTCTCTTATTCTTCATGATTTTCTCATCTCTTCTTCTTGCATCTTCTTCAAGTATGTATTAAAAAAAATTATTTATTTTTATCAAAAACAAAAAAATGGAATCACCCCATCTCCATATTATCTTTTATTACTTAAACTAATTTTTATATCAATTTTTCAATTTTTTTTGCAGGAAGAATTTTGTCAAAGGATGAGAAATCCTCTTCAACACAAACTAAACTAGATAATGTAAAATTCTTGTTTTTTAATATTGCTAATTTCTCTATAGTTTGCTTTTAATTTATTCAACCAACTTAGTTAAGAGTTTTATTTATTATTTTTTTTTTCAATAATAGGAAAGTGCTATTGGATTAAGTAAAGTGGAAGATTTATTTGAAGCTAGAGAAGAATTGATGGTAAAGGAGAGAATGAATTTGGAAATAGATGATTATCCAGGGACTGGAGCAAACAATCACCATGACCCTAATACACCAGGAAGGGTTTGATTGATGCATAAATTTATTATATTTTATTGGAATATTATTCCATATACATGTCATGTGGGACATATTTATACATTATTGGTTTTTAATATGTTTCATCCACATTTTTTAATGGATGATATTTGTTTGTCTGTAAATTATAGAAGTTTTTTTTTGGCAAGGAATTATAGAAGATTATTGTAATTAAAGATAAGGGTTTTATTTCTATGATGATTTAGTAGATATTTGTTTTTTTATTGAATTAGTTTTGTAACTTGCATAAGGGTATTATTTCTATGATGATCTAGTAGATGTTTTTTTTTTTTTATTGAATTAGTTTTGTAACTTGCATACATAACTAAGAGTGAAGACTAATTTAAAATGGACATTGTTTTTTTCATACTAAATATTGTTTCACTCTAATGAAAAATAAAAAATACTTTTCAGAATTCGGAAATACATCTTCGAACGCATTTTATTCACATACAATCCCTTTGTTATTGAATTATGTCCTAATTTTATGACTAAATTTAATCTAGACATACATATTTATACACTGTACGAAAATGTATTTTCGAAATCCAATGAATGAGAAACAAATGCAAAAACGAAACATATGCAGAAATAGAGGTAAATTAACATCGATAATTGTTATGACAAACATAAAAAATGAAATATTACATAGATAACCGTTAATATAAATCGAGCAACACAGGTCATCACCAAGTAGGATTTTTCAACATCTTCATAATATCTACGGTTGATCTCGCAATCTTCACATCCCGTTTGATTGAATATTTGCTTTGTAACGATGAAATGTACTCCACATTTTGCTTTCTCTCAGCAAATTCATCTATCTTTCAAAACCTTTGAAATTCCATTTTTTTAAATAGTTTTGGGGGATTACAAAATACTGATTTTAGCTTATTTTTATTCAGAATTTCTTAATCTCAAACATGGTTTTATTCTTTAGTATATTTTGTGTTCTCTTTTCTTTGTCTTTTGGTTGAAGATAAAAGAGGGAGAAGAATGATAAGTATTTAAGCATCTGAATCTGATTAATTTAATTTTTTTATGCTTAATTCTAAAGAATTAATTATTGTGCTTCAATAATAAATTCAATTAACCTGGCTAGGGGTTAGGGGGAGCTTATAAACCTCAACCTTAGGACTTTCTGACTTAGAGGACTTACAAACCTCACCCTTAGAACTATCATACTTAGGGGGATCTTACAACCTCAGACCCTGAAGTTAGAATGTTAATTAAATCAACAACCATTGCTCTTAAATACTTGTGTTTGTCATCATCAAAAATGGGGAGATTTTTAGAACAAAATTGATTTATACCTTATCCCTTAGGTTTTGATGATAACAAAGTATTTAAAGAACAGTTGTGTAGACTAATATGTGTGCATATGTGCATGTACAAGGATTAATATAATAATTGAAATTTCATTCTGAAACTGCACTGAACTTTGAAAGAGAAGCTCTTAAGAGGCAGATTCTGGAGAATCAATTTCCGATAAAGTTATCTTCTAATGATTAGAACCTGATGTCTTCAGACTCTAAGCAAGCTATCCTCTAAAGAGTCACGGTATGAAGGATAAGAAGTTAAGAATCAAACCCTAAAGGACAAGAACTGGAACTCAGTTAAAGCCCAAGAATCAAGGAATTCCTAACACATTGCTATCAGACTATAAGCTTAATTTGCCATGTTCTGGTCACATGATAACTTGTCAGAAAGTTGAAGAAGGCTGAAGGCTTACAACTAATAATTCCTTTTGTAGAAAATAGAGTTCAAATGAGTTTGCAATGACATTAACTATTTGAGGAAGCTTTACAACATATCTGATGATTCCTCCCTTCAACGACTCTCTTGTGTTTGAAGTTCTCTCCAAGGAATATTTCATGGAACTCTATAAAAGGAGCTGAAGATTTGGAGAAACATACAACATTGTGTCTTAACAAGAAAAAGAGAAGTTACTCTTTCAAAATAAAGAGCATAAGCTAACTTAAAACTTATTACTAATTGTACATTCTTAAAAGTTCTTAAGTCTTATAGTTTTATGTGTTATAATCTATTTACACCTCTGATTGTATATCAAGTGTAATTATCACTCTATCACTATCATTTATCTGTTAGATAGATTATTGGAAGTCTCTTGCCTGCATGCTTAAGCTGTGAAATCTCTTGCTTGTGTGCTTGAGCAATTGGAAGTCTCTTTTATGCGTGCTTGAACAATGAAGTCTCTTGCTTGTGTGCTTGCGAAGTCTCTTGCTTGTATGATTGAACAATTGAAAGTCTATTTCTTGTGTGCTTGAGTAGTGAAGTATCTTGCTTGCGTGCTTGAGCAATAAGAAGTCTCTTTTTTATGTGTTTGAGCATTGAAGTCCCTTACTTGTGTGTTTGGGAATTGGAAATCTCTTGCTTGTGTGCTTGAGCAACTTATAATTAGATTTAGTTATAGTGTAAATCTTTTGGAAGTGCAAGTGGACTGGACTGCTCCTAATTTATAGGAGGAACCAGGAAAATTTCTTGTGTGATGTCTTGCTTTGTTCTTTATTTCAATTGAACATTATTCTGCTGCTGTCATACCCCAAATTTATCCTATTGATTTTTAACTAAATTATTCTTTATTTTTATCTAAAGTTATCAATTTTTTCGATAAGGTTTAGATTACTTAGGATAAAATCGTTGGGGGGGTTTAAAACCTTAAAGGGGAAGTGGGGTTTTTTTAAAGGAGGTTTATGGGATTTCTAAATCAGAAAAGCCCATGTGAAGTTGACGATCCACTTGGTGTTTCTTAAACATTAAAGAGGGGGTGTATTTAATTTTAGGCCCATTAAGAGTTTGTTTTCAAATAATAAGAGAGGTGTATTAGAAAATAAAGGTTTGAGAATATGAGGGGTGTATTCATCACATAGTGGGCTTAGCATTCACGAAAGCCCATTTTTTACCCTTTTTTGGGTTAAATAGAAACAGGGGGTGCATTTTTAAATTGTTGGGCCTAGCTTCCCAAATAGCCAAGCCCATTCTGTCTCACTCTCATTTTTGGGTTATCATTAACATTTTTCATCATTTATTTCAAGGTATTACTAATTATTAATATTATTACTAATGTTATTATTTTATCATTATTATTATTATTAATTGTGTTTATCAAAATATTATTTTTGTGTTTTTGAATCGTTGACTAGAAGTCAACCAAATCCAAAATTAGGGTTTTAACCATGTTCGTTGATTGTACATTATGCAATAACCAAGCCCAGAAGAAATGGTTATTGTGTAGATCTAAGAGGAAAATGCATTTGTGTGAATTGAAACACATACAGAACTAAAAAAAATATAACCAATTTCAATAATATCTTTACATAACGAATGGTACAAGTTTATTTCAATACATAATCATCTATTTCTAAACAGAATCAAATCTTATTCTAATTGCAATCATAATCAATCCCTAATCAACTAAAATGGAAAATTACAAAGAAATTTTCTAATCTAACAATTTTAACAACCTATAAATAGTCCTAATTCTAAGAGGAAGTGAAAAAAGGGAATTGAAGGGGAGAAGCAGAAGCATAATCCACGAGACAATTTCTTCCATGAGATTTGGGTTTTAATTTCTGAAACCCTTGACCTGTACTTTAAACCGTGCCTCTATCATCTCTGATGTTGCCATCGTTCTTCACGCCTACAGTTAGAAAAGAGGAAGAAGATTAGACAGAAGGAGAGAAAGTAAAAAAGGAGTGGATACGACAAGATTCACGGCATTGGATGGTAAGCATAATACTTAGCTTAGGGTTTTTAAATTATTGTTGTAATGCTTGTATAATTGTTATTCATTGTTTTGTGTTGTTGGAATTTTGTGGGGTTTCTGGGTTTTTTAGGGTTATGGTTTTAAGTTAGGGTTAGGGTTCTAACTTAGGGTTAGGGTTTTTCATCTAAGGTTAGGGTTCATTAGATTTTGGGGTTTTGGTTGATTAGGGTTCTTCACGAACCCTTAGGGTTCTTAGGGTTCATATGAACCCAGACGGTGGTAGAGTATGAACCTGATGGTGCCTTGGCGCAGCCGCTGGTGGCGCCCAAAGAGGAGGCGATTTTTGGTGACAGAAATATAGAGAGAAGTTAGAGCTTCTCTCTCTAACCTCCAAACAACAGATTTGTGTTTTTTGTAAAGAGAGGGAATGAAAGGTAAAAATGGGCCTCTAGCCCAGAAACCGAAATATATAATGCCCTTTGATCTTGTGCCCGCGATTCCAAAACCTTGCCAAACGCCCTCGCTACATGACCCTTCGATCTCCATCAAGTGTCCTAAAAATGCACTCCATCATAATAATGTGTACCCTGTCGTATGGAGTCCAAATTGATTCCCTAAATGTTTGTAAATCTTGGGCCAGGCCCATTGTTAATCACGCCCTTGTTTTTACAACAACCTTACCAAATTGCACCCCTATTGCATTATGGGCCCAGTTGAATATCTGAACTTGGGCCCCTTGCTGACTAAACCCCCTATTTATGATGACTTGGACAAAACAACACCCTCCTCTGTGTTTGGGCCTGAATTCAACATCTGAGTTCAAAGCCCTACCTTTTACACCCCCTGTTTTACTATCTCAATACAAAATACACCCCTTGCATTTTTTTAATTTTCTTTTATTATTTATAATTATTATTTTATAATTAATATATTTATAAATTCAAATATTATTTTATTATTATTATAAAATGAAAATATTTATTTTTCTACTAACTCATAATTATTTTAAAATTGCATTAAAATTATTTTTATCATGCATTAACAAGATTTTTATATATTAATACATTTACAAAATATCTAACCAACACCAAATCTTTTTTTAATTTAATGAAATCCAAGATAATTTTCAAAAAGGATTATGAAGATACTTTAAATCGACGGCGAACTTCATCTAACAATCCCGCTATTCACACACCCAAACTTTGTTCAAGGAGAGTTCGAAATATCTTCGTAATCCATAAAAAATACCAACCAACTGCGAACT